GAAAACACACACACACACACACACACACACACACACACACACACACACACACACACACACAACGCAGGAAATAGAAAACTGAGGTCTAAGGGTGTGAACAGCTAAATTCCTTGAGGATATTAAAGCAAGTCAACAACATGGCTCCTCTGTATCAGTGGTTTTTCTGGTTTGTGAATGAGTAATATTATGCATTAGCACAAAAGCATCCCCCCCCGCCCCTGTTTCAAGTGAAGGAAAAGATAAAACAGGATTTCCAGCACTTCAAAGGCCCTGGTCTCTGCCAGACTGTATAAATCTACATCGTTGATACGGCTCTATCTGCTGCCGCTGCAGGTTGCACAATGTGTGTTTGAATGCTAATGTGGTAAACCACATTCATGTCATACATCAGTCAGGCCTGTGATCAATTAGGATAGATATTGATCATGAATAAGCAGTATCGCCATTAATGGTGTCCACCTCTGGTCAGGAGCGAGCTGATGCAGCTGTGATGTGAGCTGTCTGCGGATCAGATCACTCATTTCATTCTGATCACAGGCCCTTTGATCACATGTGATTTGGTTGATGCTTTTATCTATTGTTTAAAGTGTATTCATTATTTTGAATAACGTGTTGACAACACTACGGAAACCCTTTACCCTGATAGTGAATGTGACGTATTCCTATGAAAAGTACTCGATTGAGATTTAGCATTGCATTTTAATAGCTTTGTCAGTCACGTTTTTATACGTTGTTTTTTTTCTTATTGGTTTCTGTGACAAACAATAAGACAAGTCAACTTCAGATGCGCCAAACGTTCTCAACCATCCTAATCTTATGCAAAATGATGAGTCATGTTCATCATTTGGAGGTGTCGGGCCGATTGTAAAGCCCACTAAACACTGTAGTAGTCCAATCAGGGTCATTTCACAAAGAAATCTGTGAGATTGGTGCAGTTCTTTCAAGCACAAGTTGCCACATTATCATTGTAAGTAAACATATACAATCTGAAAGGCAGACAAAGTACCAAAAAAATTGATATATATATGAAGTTTGTCCAGAGCTGAGACCCACCTATCTTTGTGTGGGCTTCAAATCCAAGGCTGACTTGTGAACGTCTTTGCTCTGATGACAGAGGGAACTGGGATCTGGAGTCGGGATTTCTTTTAGGGATGTACGCAGTATCTGATTGCAAACGGAAATTCAGCAGCTCGTTGGACAGCTGATGGAAGTGATCACTCTGTGACCTGCATCTCTGCTCCAGGTCACAAACCTTGACCTTTGATAGAGAAGAGGGGGGGGAGAGGGGAAGGTAAAGAATGGATCATGAGGGGAACTTAACACACAAAGCATGTAGGGCACTTCATCACATGTAATGTTCAGATGTTAATTCTCTGAAGAACAGCCAATGATTCATCTACAGTATTAATGCTGATCAAACACAGAACCAATTAGAAGAGGATCCCTACAGAGGCTGTTTCATTATATAGTAGCATGTTATTTTGAAACCACTGCAGTCTAACCAAAGGATGTGTGGAGTCATCTGCACTGCTGCAGCTGCTCATATACAACCCGGTATAACTCTGATAACAAAGCCTGAGTACTGGAAAGATTTAAGAGGATTATTAGACTCACAGTATAGGAATTAAAGACGCCATATCATAGATATCATATCACAGGAAGTCAAGGAAGATGGATGGGATGTATGGTGAAAATAATAGTACTCAATCTAGGCACATATGGATTCTCGATTTGCACAAAATACCCAGGAAAAAGCTTTAGTGATTTGCGGAAAATTCACATATGAAACTATTCAGGGGGGAAAATAAATACCTGAAACATTCTGTCCTTTTTGTTCTGCTCAGACAAAATGGAGGGAGACAGAAACAAGTAAAGAAAGAAGAAAAATTAAAAGAAAAAAACACACAACACAGAAATGAAAACGTTGCAAAGAAGGAAAAGATAAAATGCAAAACAAAAGCTAAATTAAAGAAGAAGCAACTGAACAGAAACACAAATATGTGTGTTTGTCATACAGAAAGAAGCCTTCCAAGCACAAAATAAGGAATGTACACAGAAAGCAGAGTCAAGAGGTTGGCTTGTTTTGTATACCTGTTGAAAAGAGTGTTTTCACATGAATGTAAAGTAACAGGCCTGTGAAAGGGCCAATTCATTGATTTGATGAATTTGTGAGAAAGCAACTCTCGTGGAGTTTCCATTTCTCTGTCCAAACTCTTGATGTTTGTCGGAGCCAAACTAAGGCTGCTTGTTCAGCAAAACCGTATTAAAGTGCTTCAGATGGATAATAACCTGACCTCACTCGAACTACATTCAGAGGAGTCGGAAACCTATTGTCTTGACAAAAAGGATTAAGAGTGGAATGAGAAAATAATTTAAGTAGATGATCCAGGGACAAGCATCTGTGATGAAAACAGCAGGTCGGAGATTTGATCAGAGGGGAATCTGGTATGCAAGGTCAGCCTGACTGCAAGATTAGAGGGAAATGTTGTTAAGTTTGAAAGAATATGTTACAAAACAGTAAAGAAGGAACAGGCAGGAATAAGACAGGAAACACAGAAGCTGAGCCACTGTTTGTTTTCAAATCTCAAATGTATCGCTCACAAACAGGTGCGGTATTGGATAACCGACAGTATTACAGTGTTTGTCCACAAATAATACCGTGTACTGACTTTTGAATTAAATGTAACCACCTGTTCATACCCTGGAGATTAGTAAAAGAGGAACATATGACAATCTCCTTTCATTTACAGATTGTTCTACAAATTGCTTTACAAGAAGACATGGGGACAACAGAGATAGTGTAAGAGGCAGACAATAATGTTTAGAAGCAAGTGTAAAAAGTATTAAATAATTTTTTTTTTTTTATTATTCCTAAAAGTCTTTTAATTTGTTTTGTAAAGGACTTTGAATTGTCACGTACAGAAAAGTGCTATATAACTTGCCTTGCCGGAGAAAATAAATTGTGTTTTAATTTAGGGGGGGGGGTTTGCGGAGAAACAGTCATGGGCAGTACTTTCTTTCATTCTATTGTGTGGATTTTGAAGGCACTTTATAGAGCACACAGTATACTTCAGAAATCTAAAACTATAATGGCAGAAAGTAAATAAAGTAACCAGATTTGGGATGTAGTGTGTGTCACCCTCTATCTCCTGTTAGTGTTCTTGTACCTGCTGCCGTGGGACAACTGACCAATTGAACTAAAAAAACCTTCTTCACAACAAGATCAACCACTGTGTAGTTTGAAGAAAAAGGTGACACTGAGTAAAAGGTCTTTGTGTGTTCATGTTACCTAACCTCTCACAGGTGTAGTGCTTCGTCATGCTCTTGGTCAGCTTGGACCTGAGCTTGCAGAGAGCAAACAGAAACACACAGTGGCACCTGACACTGTGATCACAGTGCATGAGGTGAAGATGACAGCACACCGCCGACATACTGTCAACACAATATCCTGGCAGAGACTCAGTGGTTGATCACAGCACTGGTACATGAATAGATTCTAGATGCTACTCCTGATGGCACGGTTCTGGTGAGCAGTAGGATTTATTTTGGGGTCTGAAGTGGCTCCTGGCATCATGAAACATCTTTTTGTTTAGTCGTACATTACTGGGCCTTGGCCTAGATATTGTTCTTTGTGTTTGTTTGGTCTTTGAACAGACACCAATGCACATACAGGACATTAAACAGGTACATGGAGACAACCAGCACGAAGACCTCCCAGATTACTAAAGCTTCAGTCACTGTTCAGCTCTTTATCAAAGCCTGTGTGGTCTAGTCCAGTGGGTATGTGAATATTAACATATCAGTCATTTGAATAAGCTTTTTTTTTAGCTTTTTGTCTGATCTATTTATGGTGTGTAAATAATGAACAGGAAATGACACTGCAAAAGGACGAGAAATACAATGTTTTAAAGTAAATATTTGTTCATTTAACAATTAAAAATGTAGGATTGAAAAAGTAAATCAGGGTGAATTATGAATGACAGACATGAAGAGGAAAACATCCCCAAACTCCTTAATTATAATATTCTTGCATAAATTAGTGCCACGCATTTGGGCCAGTCTTGGTAAACAGAAAGGCATATAATTAGCATTTTAGATATTTGAAAAGCCTTAGAAGTTCACAAAGAGTGTAAATGTATCAACAGCAAGAAAGGCAACACTTTAGGCAGATCTTCGTCACACTATCTAACAATATGAAAAGGTGTTGCTGCATTTTCTCAAGAAATCTGCTGATTTTTTGAAAGCTTTCTGAGGTCTTTTCATCTTTCTGATACAGTATCAGATATTCAATGACAGTGAGTCAGCAGAAACTGGTCACTGACACATCAAATACTGACAACAAGGAGGGAGACAGAAAAAAAGTAAAGAAAGAAGATAAATTACGGGGAAAAAACATACTGAAGAAACAACACAGAAATGAAAACGTTGCAAAGGAGGAAAAGATACAAATCCAAAACAATAATATATTTATCAATACAGATAAATATAAAAAAGCAATATAACATTAAAGAAGAAGGAACTGAACAGAAACACAAATATGTTCGTTTTTCAGACTGAAAGGCAGAAAAGAGGTTGGTTTGTTTGAACCTGCACAGCAGTTTTGTATACCTGTTGAAAAGTGTGTTTCCCCATGAATGTAAAGAAACAGACATGTGAAAGGGGCAATTAATTGATCCAATGAATTTGTGAGAATAAAGTAACTCCAGTTTCCATTTCTCGGTCAAAACTCTTGATTTTTTTTTCTTGATTTTTTGTATTGACTTTTACTCTGGAAGAATGAACGTCCTCCAACATTTAAACTTTTCATTGATCAGATAACACATTTTTTACCTCTGGAGAAAATGACATTGGAAAAATATAATCGTGGAAATATCTTTCAAGCCCTGTGGTTGCCATTTTTTTCTTATTTGGAAAATATATCTGAGATATGACCAGTGATGGAATGGTGCATTCTGTGGCTATTTTTCCTGACGGCCGGAAATACTAGTTGTGTTGTCATTGTCTATATTGTCGCTGTATTGTATAATTAATTGTATAATTATTTGTTTGTTTTACTTTGATGTGGGTTTATTTATTTATTTATTTATTTTTCTCCGTTTTATGTTTATTTTCATGGCTCTGTTGTTTAAATTATATTGATAAGCATTTTTATCTTAATCAAAGTCCTCTCTCTCAAATATTCTTCTTTTTTATTTTTTGGTTTCGTCAGTGTGGGCATTTGCGGGTGGAGGGAGGGAGGGGGGAGTGTAGTGAGTGTACTGTGGTACTGTGATATTACAATATAAATGAAATGTCATCGATTACTGTACACTATAATGAAATAAAAAGACTTGTAAAAAAAAATTCAGAATGTCATAATGATAACAAATAAGATTTCAACAACCAGTTTCAAATGTTTGCCTGTATCCGTATGGCCGTACCTTTTGCAGTTGATTGATCTCCTTCTGCTTGGTGTGAAGGGCCACCAAGGCTTGCTCATGCTCCGTCTGCAGCTGCTGCTTCAGCTCCACAGCCTCTTGCATATGCTGCAGGAGAAACAGAGAGGATGTGGCTTTGTTGAAGGATGTTATTTACACAGTATATTTGACAGTATCCCACTTCAGGGAAAGAGAAACCAAAACATTTTTCTTCCTTTAAATCTAAATTGATTTCACTGTGAAAGAATGATACAGTATGGGATGTTTATCTCATTTGTAATGTATATCTATCAGATGCAGCCTACTCCGAAGTGACTCAGACGAAGCTGTAACGCCTGGTCACCCACGCTGCTCCTCAATCTACCCTTTCCCAAATTAGCCGAGTCATGACTATACACTATCTTTCCGGAGTCACGACCAGCTGTCGGATCTAGCAGGAACAGAGTTAAGGCCATAAGATGTTTCAGAGAGCTTAGGAAGAAAAGACAGCTTAAAAGGCTCTGACATTCATCATTTTCTCTCTGTGTTCTCTCTGCCTTGAAAAAAGGAAAGAAAAGCCTCTTTACCTCCCGGAGTGGCTTCGAGGTGTCCTGAGCAGGCAGCCGCTGCTTTGCATAATCAGGAAGAAGTTTTAAGCTGCAGAGCACTGGGCTGGCTGAGAAGCTGTCACTGCAGCCTTAGTGAACACTTTCTCTTTTTTTTTTAAAGTCATGGATATTTAGGGAAGGCTTGATGAACTAACCTACATTTTCAGCAAACAGCCTGTGATGTCATGTTAAAACAGACTTCCTAATCATACTTTAGGCCATAACTCAAAAGATATCTTTTAGATATACTCATTCAAATTGGCTCCAACACACGGGCTGTGCATACTCAGAAAGTATTAAAGGTGGAGTATAGTAATTTTGGAGAAACCAGCTCGAGTGCGCTAGAATTTGAAAATACACAGCCGGAAGAAATCTGCCACTTCCTTACAGAGCCCCTCCTCCAACACACACGAACGCGCACATGACCAATGAGGGCACGAGATAAGTTTGTGCACAGATGGAAGGCTGACAGGCAGGTAGGCCATCCAGTTATTTTAGCCGGGCCGGCTAAAATGATTGTTCGTGCTTTTTACAGTACTACGGCTTCCACAGATGACATTTTTGTATGGATTTTTTGTCAAGGCAATTAAGATATTCATTGCTATCAGGATGTTAAGAGTATTCCATGGAATATAACAAAAAGTGTATCTCGAGCCGGTTTCTCAAACTTACCTACCCCACCTTTAAGTGTAATGTAATGTCTGGTAGGAAGTGAAAAACTGTTGCAGACATTGAGTATAAGATCAAAATAACAATATGAGGTTAACTTTATCTCTTTAAAAATGTTGAAAAATGTTTAATATCAGGGTTTAGACATTGTTCAATTGCTATTAGAACCACTCCTACATAAACAGCATTACAAGTAGAAATGGAAGGATTGCCACTGGAATTAAGGAGAATAACGCCATAGTTAAATGACAGAGTAAATGCAAAAGGAGAATCACAACAAACAAGAGACACCGAGACCCTGCTGCTTCCTGAAAAGCCTGCAGCTACAGAGAGGAGGGAATTTGTGTGTACACAATACTGTAAAGACAAAGATCTTGAGAAGGGGCATATGTACTGCCTGGATGAGCTGTAAACCTGACACCTGAGATTTGGACTCGACTATTTACAGATCCTGGGTACTACTGTATATGTAGTGTGACTCACGGGAGGAAGACTGTAGGTATAAGCCTGCCACGCAGTATTCACTCCCCTCCTGTACATCTGACAATAACTCTCTTTGTTACCAGATTATATAACTTTAAAGTCAAGATTGACAGTTCTGGATCTCATTAGCTTTGACTCAAGAAAAAGTCTGTCTTTTTTTCTTCATGTTGCATCTCCTCCATCTTGCTCTCTCCTCCCACTTCGCCCTGTGTAATGTTCTCTAAATAGTCTCTTTGTCTTCATAATCAATACACAATAAGAAAGTGACAAACCTTTCTTTGCTGTATTAGGGTGCGGGTCAGTTTTTCTCAGATGGGTACATTTTTCTCTCAAATATCCTGACATACAGGCAATCAATAGGAGATGCAGGGCGTGAGGATTTTTAATGAAAGTGCCTCTCATGGCACACTGAGACTGTGTCTGATTACTATTGGCAGACCATAACAGGGTGGAAAAAAAGAGCCTCTCCATGAATGCAATGACACTTCACCTCATGAGTCGCCATACCCTTCTTCTAAAGTTTTTGCAGAAAACCAACACCTGGGAGATGGAGATTTTCCCCAAAAGAAACAGCGAAAAATCGGGGTCTGAAAAACCTCCAGATCTGATGAATTGTGCGAGGAGAACAGAACCACCTTAGTGAGCGAGGGATGAATGAGTGCAGATTGGAAAGCTGGAGGAATGTAGTGAGATATACAGTATGTCCGAGAAAGAGCGGAGAGATAGAATCAGTGGTGATAAAGGGTTTAGATTCTTTTGCTTTGCCTACTCAGCAGAAAGATACGTGTAGGGTCTCTGAGACGTATAGCTCGGTGGATTTCTACAACAAATAATGGGAGAGATGAAGAAGAAACAATTTCACATTCATCGTATTGAAGCCTGAACTAAAGTTAGATTGATTTACATAATCTAATCCATAACTGCAGATCATTAAATGTGAGCAAAGAAAGGACTATATGAAAAATGGCATATTGGAATCCTTTGAGGAATAATAATAATAGTAATCTTTTTCGGAAAAAAACTCTGCTTTACAACAATACTCAAAATACTTGGTGTATTTATCTGGCGTGGATCACATGGACTTTTTTAAACTAATACCACAAAGTAGTAGAGACGACTCAGAACTCAAAGTTGTCATAGTTAGAAATCAAGTACATGATTTGCCAAAATGTTAAAGGTTTAAGGGGATATGAAAAAACGTTATCATTGCTTGTCCGCGTATTTGGGTGTCTAGAGTGCCGGCCTACAGACAGACTGGGAAATAAGACAAAAAAAGTCATAAAACATTGTATCCCACAAGCCATTGAGATTTGGCTCCACTTCCTACGTCCCATTCAGGCTCATCAGAGTTTTTTACGGCTTTGCAAAAGTTATTTTTCTTGCAAGTCTCTAGGTCTCTTTGATTTTGGTCAGGGACCTGACAGGCTCAACAATTAGGCTTTTACATCAGAGGGTAAATACATGTACATTCGGACAGACAGTATAAAATAGAGTAATAAAATAATGTATTTTTATTTTAAAGTATGTAAAATTAGTAAACTCTGTGCCCTTTAAGTAATAGGTAAAAGGGTGCTAATGCGAAGGATGCTATGATTGGAAATCAAACAAAAACGTATCACATTGTTTCTATAAAAAAGATATAATGCATGGATTAAATGATGAATGCACAGAAGCATACTGGTGGAGGAAGCAGAGTTAAGCGATGTACACGAGAGTGTTTATGGGATCACGTGAATGAGATGATGGGATATAGCAACATAAGCAACATCTCACCTTCAGCACCTGCTCCAGGTTCTCCACTCTGCCTTGGAGGTGGCTCTTCTGCTGCTGGGCCACGTCTCTCTCCTGGCTCACGACAGCTAAGGTCTGTCTCAGCTGGTCACAGTCTGATCGCACCTAAGTGAACAAGAAACAAGTCCCGTTTTAAGGGAGGGAGGGAGGGAGGGAGAAGAACAAGATAAAAAGAGCAAGGAGGTTAAGAGGACAATATAAAAAGGTACACAGGCACCAGGAAAATCATTACAACGTGAGAGGAAATGCTTACCCTTACATAGTTTAAGGGGAAAAGAAGTTAGGTAACTTCTACAAGGTTTGTCCTTGCAGTAGACCTACTTTTTATATTCATGAATAGAGGCATTTCTTTTCTTTTTTAGCTGGAGGGTTGATTGGAGTTCATAGTCGGAGGAGAAATTAATCAGCACATTTCAATTTAGGCTTGATGAGAAAGAGCTGCTGACTTGAGCGTTCTGCGTCTCGTTCCTTCATCAGTCAGAGGCCTTGAGCTAAGCTGGTTCCTCTAAAGGTGGCCTCTCAGGATCAAGCAGAGCCATCCATCAGCCATACACCAATCGTCTCATTAACGGGCAAAAGAGATGAGCAGACAAAAAGATAAGCTCACTCAAAGTGCTTACTCTCTGACTGTTGCAAAGGCAATGAGTTTATTCATATCGGGAAATGTAGGACAAGTGCTCAAGTAGCATCTAAGCTATGTCCCGTTGGACAAGCAGCTAAATTATCATTGTTACACATTCATTTACATACCCAAACATAATCATTTATAATACACTTAATTTATGAGCAAAAAGAACCTCAAAAACCAATCTATAATCTAAGAACAGACATGAAATATAACCTTAAAAACTGTGATCTGGGAATTAAGCCAATAGTTAGCATTTTAGCCTATACCTTCTATATATAATAAAATCCAATATATGTTAGATACATATTCTGTATTATTCAGTAAAGGGCTGCTGGTACTGAAATTCAAATACTTCTCTAGCCATTTTAAATCCTTGAATCACTTTATGGAGTCCAATATAAGACTAACAATAAATACTATGATTTTGAGTCAAACTTTTTGTATTCTCTTTTAACTCTAAACTGTCTCCGGAAGATGTATTATTAGTTTCTGTGATAACTATGTTACATGCCACCATCACCACCTTCCTATTTCTCTTCCTTTTCCATTCCTTAATTTTCTCTCTATGCATCTTCCACTATTTGCAGCCCGTCACTCTCATTCATATGAGACTCGACACGCTTTTCATCTCTGTGCCCACCTTGGCGGTGCACAGATGGCATCTTCTTGTGTGGCATGGTGGAGCAAAATCTCCGAGCTGAGTCCCTGGACACGTGTCATATGTGCCCCCATTGTGAAAGTCACCATTAGCAGCAAAGAAGCTAATCGCCTACCGTCTGGGTCTGTGTGTTTATGTATGCATGTGTGAAGTGGGGATGAAGGCCGATTACGGGAAAAGAAAAGCAGCAATGATGTGTGTGTATAAGACGGAAAACATGACGTTAATAGCACATTTATACATCGTTGGCGTGAAGAGGCAACACATGATAACACATATAATGATGGTAACCAGGCTGCAGGTGTATTGATCTACAGAGATGAATCACAGCCGGCAACGTATGACTGATGTTACAGATATTTATAAGACGTGTGCATGTGGTATGTAGCCCCTATGATTAGTAGTGCCTTATAGAATATCTTTTACCATTGATCATAGCATGGCCATTGATCATCAGTGTGTGTTTCCTTGCTTTCACATGTGTCAGAGCCATACCTGGTCATACTTGGACGTCTTCAGGTGGTGTGTGATCAGCTCAAGGTTCAGACGATTTTTCTCCTGCAAGGCAGCATGGAGCTTTGCTCTCTGAAGAAGGAACAAGAGAAACAGAAGAGAGTTAAGTGTGTTGTTACATTATGATACATTATCTTCCTCATTGCAAAGACGTTCCTGTCTGACTGCATCATGTATGCAAGCCACACACTGCAACTCCATCTTAAAACTATTATATAAGTGACAGATGAAAGGGCCAGGTTAGTGGCGATCCCTCCCTCCCTGTGTGTGTGTGTGTGTGTGTGTGTGTGTGTGTGTGTGTGTGTGTGTGTGAGAGTGAGTGAGTGAGTGAGTGAGTGAGTGAGTGAGTGAGTGAGTGTGTGTGTGAGTGAGTGTGTGTGTGTGTGTGTGTGTGTGTGTGTGTGTGTGTGTGTGTGTGTGTGTGTGTGTGTGTGTGAGAGAGAGTGTGTGTTGTGTGTGAGAGAGAGAGTGAGAGAGAGAGAGAGGAGAGAGAGAGAGAGAGAGAGAGTGTGTGTGTGTGTGTGTGTGAGAGAGAGAGAGTGTGTGTGTGTGTGTGTGTGTGTGTGTGTGAGAGTGGTGTGAGAGTGTGTGTGTGTGTGTGTGTGTGTGTGTGTGTGTGTGTGTGTGTGTGTGTGTGTGTGTGTGTGTGTGTGTGTGTGTGTGTGTGTATGTGTGTGTCTAAGCTTTTCTCCAAGACACTGTCTGGAGGACAAAACCCACAGCTGCATACTGTCACCCTCCATTTGGTATGTGGCATTAGGAGTGGAGGGGGAAGAGCTGAAAGAAGAGGGGCACACAGGAAGAGAGAGACAAGAGAGAGATGGATGGAGGGATGGTGTGGAAGAGCAATTGGGAAAAGGTTTGAGGGAGAAATATTCAGGGAGAAGTAACAACCCGAGGAATTTGAAAGATGGAATAAGGGAGAGTCAGTTGAATGCTAAATAATCTAACAAGTGCTCTTTGTCTCCTGCATCTCAATATGAGATTAAGTTTCATAACACGTGAAAATAATTTAAAAGAGGTGTGCACTTCCTGAGTGACTCGCCACTGCCCAGATCCAGGTTCTGAAGTTGTCATGCCGCTGGTGCTGCAGGTACTCAAGCGTTACATAATTACGCCAGACTCAAACTAGGGCAACGCTCTCCTCCTATCACAGCTCCGAGCATTCAAGAGTGATTTCACTGCGACTGGTCATATCCTGGCTCATAATACCACTTCATGCTAGTGCACTAAGCTCAAATTGCTGATTGTGATCCTCAGAATAAGAACTATAATATGTTTATAAGTCATTTATAATAGCAGTTAAATAAAAAGCAACAGGAGATGATCACAGTTTTCATTATTGCAGAACGTAAAAGCAGGATCAAATGTAAGGCTTTAGGATAAGTAGGGTTTGTTTCAACATGTCTTATTGATCAGAAAATATTGCCCCTAAATAAAAATAACTAGCTTGATAGTCTCCTTGAAAGGATTTAATCTAATTGCCCTATACATATGAGTCGTAAACTGGTGAAAACCCCAATCTAACGTACATTCCAGCTCCATAAAGCACAGCTGTGTTGTTTTTTCTCTACACGCTTGATGTAAACACTGCGATGCACCACACATACATGCAATATGTTCCTGATTACTATGATATACTCGAGCAGAAGGGGAGTTCAAGCATTGTATGTCAGTGTCTGCACAGGAGAAGTGCGGCTCAGAGGTTTATGATCAAATGTATCAGTGCAAATCGAGTGGACTCAATAAACCCGAGAGGAGAGAGAAACAGACAACGTGAGCGGCCAGCCTGGTTCATCCATCTCTTTGTGTGCATGCAGGGCTGTCGGAGGTAGACACAATCACACGGAGACACAGATAGAGAACAGACAAGGACGGGAAGACACAGAGACTGGTGAGTGAGTTCACTGGCTGCTCTTATTGTGTAACGCTGCCACCGCATCACATCACTGCAGACCACAGAGCAGCTAGTGCACTAAACCACACCTAGCTACAGTAGCATCCACACAGGATTCTGTTCTCCTGCCTTTCGCTGGTCATTACGGGGACACGGCACGTCATGAGGTGGCAGCTCTAGTTGTCCTCTGCGCTGACACCCCAGGGCATGGCCTTGTAGCTGACATTACATTCCATGTCATTAAGCTGACGTTTCTATCCAAAGTAACTTAACCCTGAAGACACAATAGAGAAAAAAAAGCAAGAATACTACAAGTGCATTAGTTTTAGCCAAACTATTGTTAGTGCTACTGCAGAGACTAAGCCAAACCTTTTCAATGCTACGGACAGAAGTGAGATTATACGTGCATTTGAAACAGTTTTCAGTGGAAGACCTGTAGACTTTCTACCATCCTGATAACGATGGGTAGCTCATTTCTCAGTTTTGAGCCAAGGAATCAGACAAGCGCTTTTTTGTTGAGGGTTACCTGGGTCTAAGTGGCAGAGAGGGAGTAGCGTCTGATTTGCAGATGCAGAGCAAAGTGCACATGCTGGACTGTATGGTTTGACCGTGTACTGGAAGTAGAAAGGACGGGATGCAATCACAGCTTGTCAGGTCAGTACCTGTGTCCTAAAGCAGATCTGAGCAGCTACTGGTAGCCAGTAAAGGGAGCAGAGGAGACGTCATTTCCTTAATGTAATGCCATTTTCTTAATGCCTTTCATTTTTTTGTAAAGCACTTTGAATTGCCTTGTGGTGAAACGTGCTATATAAATAAACGTGTCTTGCCTTGCCATAAGGAAGTGCAGCTGCGTTCAAAAGGAAGGTAAAGATAACTTGAAGGTTGAGTGAAAAGGGAGTAGAGGGTTTGGTTGTGGCTGCATGATAACAAAAGAAATAAAGAATGACCTTTTAAAGGTTTCTTTTTATGGGCCTCAGGAATGATGTCTGCATCTCCACTTCCTCCCACTTCCAGTGAATCACACATTCACAGCTCTGCCTAACACGTCGTAACATTTTGTAAACACACTGCTATACTGCAAAGGGGACATGTACACTCATTTCTGTGCCAATTGTAACCTTCAATATGCACCGATAAACAGTGGAATCTGGTTTGAATATAAAAAAAAGGACATCATAATGAGACCCTCTCTTAAGGAAAACTGTGAGTGCGTGTGTACGTGTGCGTGTGTGTGTGTGTGTGTGTGTGTGTGTGTGAGATTCATATGTGCATGCAGAAAAGAAATGGACAGGCTTGCAGAAGAGACCTCAACACCACTAATGACTAATACATTGACAACTTCTTTCTTCCTCCCTCATCTGTCTTTTCTCTCCATCTATCTCTGTCTCCCCCCTGCACACACAAACACACACACAAACGTGCACTTTCCCTTGCATCACCCCCATGCTTATCATTCAATCTCCAAACCCACTCATTTAGCTGCTGATCCTAAATCTGCTCTGCTCACTGTGGCCTCTCGCTGAACTTCTAAAGTCCCAGAATATACTGTGCACCAAGCCGATCCCATACCTCAGTCTCAACCAGAGCCTGCACCAGAGTTAACGTGTATTGTGTTTTCTGTGGGATCAGATCAATACCCTCAAACAATAGCTTTTTCAAATATGGTAAGAAAGGTATAAAAAAGATTGGTAACTTTTCGTCATCTATCTAGAGTTGAAAAGCTTTAAATGTTGAATACTATTTTGGAATACTAAAAGCTTTAAATGTTATAGCTTAGCTTAGCATTACGACTGGAAACAGGCAGAAATAGCTAGTATGTTGAGACACCCGGGTACTATCCAAATCAGGTAAGCAGTACCCCACGATCAATCATTCAGATTGTGTAATACATTGTGAGTTTTTGAGGCGCTGACAGGCTGATTTTGTTGTGTTTGAACAGGGAACTTATTTCCTCCGATTCCTACATAATAATACATTTTATTTTTAGGCGCCTTTCATGACACCCAAGGACACCGTACAATTTGTTAAAAAAAAGAAAGAAAACGCTAATGGGCAACATTAGCGTTTATGTCTCGTACTGTAGCTGGCGCTTCAAACATATATTTCTATTTTATACATAGAGTATGTTTGATTATCAAGATAAACAAAAGGTATGCAGGGGGGGCTTAATCTATCAGCTCATTGATCTAGTTGCCTTAGAGAACAAACCTAGGCAAGTAACGCGAGGCACACGATGAGATGCCTAAACAAACAAAGGATTTGCTCAGATCAGCTGACAAAGCAGAGCAGTTCTCCAGTAGAAGAGAAGAGCAGCAACACCAGAACCTGCTCATCAGATTATCACGGTTTCTGTGAATCCATCACAACTGTGGAAAAAAAGGCTTTTATAGACCCTCTAACGTTTTTACACTAACCCGAGTGTTTGATACAAGAGAAATACATGTTGGGTGGAGCATCGCTGCAGTTCAGATAATCTTCAATCAATGTTTTGCCCCGGCCATGTTGAAGATAAAAGGGGTCGAGCTGTATCATACATAACACAATTACAACATATTAGATTTAGGCAGTGCTTCTGGTTATTGTAATATCATGCGTCACTGCATCACTGTAAAAAACAAAACAAATCTGCAGCGTAATGTTTTATATAAAATGAACTGTTTGATCCGATCCAACAGGAAGTTACTTTGATCTTTGCAGAAAGATGTCATTTTATATCAAATGTTCACTTTTTACCTGATATTAAAGAATTGCACAGACAGTAATTGAAAATGATTGAATATAATTTACCCACCTGATCACCTGACAAGTATTCATGATAACAATTGGGCTGTATATGAAATCCTTTTTAGATAGTCCCTTCTTCATTACAAGGACTTTATTTACTTCAGTCGTCATAGCCGTTTAAGCACTTAAGGCTTTACATCATGACAACAAATCTTGAAGAAGGATTTATGCGTATTTAAGGAAGTATTCATTATTTGGAATTATAGATGTGCCACTTAAGAATTAAACGAACATTAAATGGGAATTAATTGCAACGTTTAAATCTTGCCTTATGTAAACCAACAGAAAATGACATGGACAAGATGTTGGATTATCTTAATTTAGAAATATATGGATCACACTCGTGATGTTATTTATTGCAGAAGAGAAATTGAGTAAGCCGGTAGAGTCT